GCACGGGGAGTGAGGGCAGCCGAGGTAATGGGGGCTCGCATGGGGACAGCCTGCCACGATCCGGGCCGAGGCTTAGCACAACCATGCCCTGGGCATCATGCTGCCCTCCTGGGTTTCTTGTCTTCATGCTTCTTCCTGCAGGAATCGAAGCAGGGCCCCGTCATGGCAGGGTCTTGTGACACAGTCTCTGCCGCTGGGGAAGGAGCTCTGGGCGCAGGGATATTTTTAGTGCTGAGACTCAGGGGATTTGATGATCGCTCGGAGGAGTGCAGGCAATGAAACCACGGCACAGACAGGGGTTACAAGGTGCCATGTCCTCCCTCTCTCGTTCCCCCCTTGCTTTCTCCCAGCAAGTGGCTCTGCCAAAACCACTGCTTCCCTCGCAATCGCCTGGTGCATTTCCTCTCACGGGGGCTACGGTTATTTTTGCTGTGCTGCAACACGAGGTCAGATGTGCTGATCGAGAAAAGACCGTGCAGGGAATTAACACTCAGGCAGCCGGCGCGTCCGGGCATCCTGTCTCCACACAGCCTGCTCCTGCCTTATTTTTTGGGGTATTCCCAGTTCTCCACACCAGCTGCTTCTGCAAGGGCTAAAGAAGTTCAAAGCCCCTGGTATTTATCCTTGTTCAACTGTGGTTTTGCTGGGGCAGGGTGATAGGGAAAGGTTTGCGATCTCAGCAGAGCCTCCTGGAAGATGCTGTGGCAACTGAGGAGCTGCATCTTCCTCCTACCCGACCTCCTCTCAGCATTGCACACAGGGACCGGGAGGGCAGGATGCGGTCTGGCAGCAGTGGGGGGTCCCACTCTGGAGGAGCGGAGTCACGGATTCGGGCTCTGGCAAAGTGCAGGGAGGACAAAAGCTGGCAGGGCCAGACTGCCCCAGCTCTTTCATGCACCAGGGAACTGGACCACGCTTGGAGTGACCTGAACTTTGCGCACCTCCCCATCAACCCCTGGCACTTTCCACAGCCCAGATTATATTTTAGGACCTTCTTTAAATCCCTGCTGTGCTGTGGCCTTAAGAAAAGGCTATCCCCATTCCCTCTTGGCCTTGTGCCTCCACTAACGAACCCTCTCCCACCCCTGAATACACCCCTCCTGTTCACCAGCACAGAGAGGGGTTGTACCAGGATCCCACGGGCCAAGGAGGAATGAAAAACACATCTCCTCCCTGCGGAAACGCACCCAGATAATTGAAACGTGCTCTGCTCCCAGCCTGGATGCTGGGTTGGCAAACACCCTGAGCTGGAGCTCCCAGCACCCTCAAGCCCTGTCTTACCCTCACCCCATGCTAACTGCACCCCAGGAATGCTCCTCTCCCAGCCTGCTTCAGCAAGGGTGCAGATGGGAGAGCTCGCAGCAGTTTGCTTCGCAGCCTTTCCCTGCTGCAGCGGTGGCTGTGAGCCCAAACCATGCGAGGGCAGAGGGACCAGCAGGGCCAGTGTCATCACCCACAGCCCACCCTGGCAAGGAGGAAATCCCTGTCTGCGCCTCCTGGAGGGATTCTGCCCTGCCTGCCCAACCTCTGCACCAGCGCCTGGCCTTGGTTCCTCTCCAAGCTGTGCTGGCTA